TTAGTCCCAGTGACACTCTTCCACAGGTTAAAGAAAAGTAACAGATGAAGGCAAGTGACCACACTGACACTAGTAAACAGGGCAGGCATCAAAGAGGAGCGTCACTCACCTGTCCCCACCTCTGAAGCCCCCTGTGACATGCCCTAAGGCCTCTGATGTGGTGAAAAGGATCTACCCTTATCAAACCCGTAACAAACCTCCACATGACTGGTAGAAGGGGTCAGGGCGAGGCTGCAGGAGCACAATGAGTACCTCCACTCCCTTTCCCAGAGCCTAACAGCTTCTGTAAGGACAAGAAAACTTTCTTTCCCTTTAGCCTAGTGACGTAACTTGGGATGCCGGGATACAGGGAACTCCGGGCCCTCAACAGATGCCACAGCACTAGTAAGGGCTCCCATACCTGAAGCCTCGTTCCTTAGCAAACTGCTCAGGCCAAGGAAGTTATGATGCAAAACCAGTAAGAAGAGAGCAACAGCCAGGACCAGGATGATGATGTTTACTGAAACACAGGAAAAGCCTGCATTAATCTCTTTACCTTTTGAGCAGCTATAAAAACAACGTAATTTGTACAAAGAGCATACCTTTACGGAAGGACATCTTTTTCTTCTGTCTTATATAAATATTAGTTCTTAACCCTATAAGACAAAAACAAGCCCCCAAAGTCAGCAGGTACATGAGAATTACCATCAAAATGCCTCAACACTTTTATTCAGGTAGAAACATACAGTATTTTCTGCCAGAAACTCATTTTGAATTAACAGTTTCCAAGAACCCAAATTGAGATCTGAATTTTATATAGTAGTCATGATAATAAAATACTTGCAAATAACTTGGGAGAAACAGATACCCTTGTATGTATGTATGTAAATGTATGTATGTATGTATGTATGTAAATGTCAGCAGATGAAAACCAAAATAAATTCTACCAAAAGGAATACTTGGGTGTCTAACCACGATGAAAATGTTTTCCAAATGAATTTCTACTCAAAATTCCTAGTTAAATAAGAGATGGACTGAGTTATCTATAATCAATTAACCTGAGGTCAGCCTCAAAGGTACAAAACGTCCTTGTTCTGAGTTGTATCCCACCCAGTTTTAATTGGAATTAAAGAGAAAAACATTTTCCAAAATCATTTAAAACTATAACAGAGAGAGGCACCTGGGTGGCTCAGTCAATTAAGCATCTGCCTCCAGCTCAGGTCATGATCCCAGGACTCTGGAATGGAGCCCTGCATCGGGCACCCTGCTTGGTGGGAAGCCTGCTTCTCCCTCGTCCTCTGCCTGCTGCTCCCCCTGCTTGTGCTCTGTCAAATAAATAAATAAAATCTTAAAATAATAATAGGGGCACCTGGCTGTCTCAGTCAGTAGAGCATGGGACTCTTGATCTAGGGTTTGTGAGTTTGAGCCCCACAGCTCAAACAACATAAACAAAAATGGGGCACCTGGGTGGCTCAGTGGGTTAAGCCTCTGCCTTAACCTGAAGCCATGCCTCAGGTCATGATCCTGGGGTCCTGGGATCGAGCCCCGCATCAGGATCCCTGCTCATCAGGGGTCTTGCTTCTACCTCTCTCTCTGCCTGCCTCTGTCTACTTGGGATCTCTCTCTGTCAAATAAATAAATAAAATCTTAAAAAAAAAAGGTGAATTGTAAAATAATCACAATCATAATTCAGTGGAAATGAAAATATGTGTGCAACTAAATTAAATTATCAGATTTCTACATCATCTATGGATAATGTTTCCTTAAAAGATTTTATGCATCCAGGATACTATGATCTTACCCCTAAGACCTTTACCCTTTGCTACTTCATTCTCCCCCATGGGAGTACCTAACATTTACATAAGGCTATTAACTTCAAAAAGCACTTTGAATTATAGCATATTTCTAAAATCAAAGTAAGTCTGAATTAATTTCACTGTAGAAGTTTGTGCCTATCAGACGTTGATTTCTCAAGGCCTTTGAAAAAAAGAGAAATATATTGAAGGATTGTTTTAAAAACTGGGGATTATCAATCACACTACAAATTTGGGAGAAAATAATTCAGACTCCCAAAGAATAATAAAAAATACACACACACTCTTTCCCTCTCTCATTTCTTTCGGAGCGCTACATATAACGTACATTATACCAATGAACTTCTCTAAAGAACACACATCATTATATACCCTGAGCAGTGCGCCTCTATCACACTGTAAGCTGAGCCTTTCCTCCAGAAACTGGCTGACCAGGAGCTGCTTAGACAAAACTGTAGCATCTGCTGCTTGGAGCCAATTTCCACCAAGACTGGAAAAAACGACCTCACTTGTATAAACGTCATTTATTTAATGGTACAAGAGACAGTGTTTTAGCTCAACAATGTCAAGTAACTGTTACTTAACAGATAGTATGTGGACTGAGAGATGTATGTATCTGTGCTATTCCAGTTAGCAAGACACAAAAAACCCACAATCCTAGCAGGTACTTGATGTAGTTAAGGAGATCAGCAGCGCAGAAACCACTTGCCTTGAAAACTCTTCTACAGTTATCTATATGCAAAATGCCAATTATTATGAGCACGTCTGATCCGCACTTCCTTTCCCGGTGCAATTCTTTGTAGTGAAATTCACTGACACCGTTAGAAAGATTTTTCAAAACTTCACAGACGGACCCTGGCATGTCTAACAGTGGCTGTATTTTTCTAGAAGGACACAGCTGTGAACGTGATCAGCCATATTCAATTTTCCCTATGGAAATTCTTTTTCTGTTTGTTTGTTTAGAAATTACAAATAAAACCTCCACATTCCCAAATCACTCACAAAACATGCACACACGCATACAGCCAGGACAGGCATATCCAGAAATACGGGTGAAGAAAGCTTAAGGAGAAAGAACACCATTTTTTTTTAAATTGGCTCGTCCCTGCATTAGTCCCCACGTTCTCAGCAGCTGTGCATACGTTTCCACTTTCCCTCTTGTTAATATGTAGCCCTATGAGAGACCGTTCCACGGACTCTCTGTAACTTAACTTCTGTGTCCTTGGTGCAGCTTCAGCAAACCCTCCCTCTCTGCTGGACCAAACCCATCAGCCTATCATGCTCTTCAATCTTCCAGTTAATTTAAAAAAAAAAAAAAGCAAAAGACACCATTCCCCACACGCCAGTTGATCCACAGACCCATTTCTCTGCTCCCTTCCTCTAAAAGCTTGGAAAAATTTCATCTCTCCCTCCACTCCCTCTCCTCTCCAGCCAGACTTCTGTCCTAGGGTTCCATTCAAACTGATCTCGTTGAGGTCACCAAAGACCAAGGCCATCTTTCTGTCACCTTATCCATCCCCTCAGAGGCCATCAGTAAAGTTCACCACAGCCCCTCCATTATCTCGTTTGCTTTTTTATTTCTGTGCGCCCAGACTAGAAGGTGAGCTCTATGAGAACAGAAACAGCACTGAAAGTGTTTACTGATGAAGCCTCACCACCGGAAAACCATGACTGGTATTCGGCATGTGGTATTTGTTGAACAGTCTTGTAATTAGGAGCTATGGGGGTTCTCAGTGCAGAAAGGGAACACCACCTTTGATAAGTCATGAAAATACATTTCAATATAAGGACCAGCATGGATTCCAACAAAAGAGCTCTCTCCAATGGAACCTGACAGGTAATTTCCTTTTCCCATCATATCTTATAGCTCCAACAACGTAAAGCCTTTACAGCAAATGCCACACTGTGAAGTGCGTTTAAAAAGGGATAACACAGGGTGACCGGCTGGCTTCAGTTTCAGAAGCCAGTGACTATCTCCAGGTTGTGAGTTCAAGGCCTATGTTAGGTGTAAACCCTGCTTAAATAAATAAAACTTTAAGAGGCGGGGGAGGGATAGGTCTATTTCTACATACAATAGAAAGTCTATTAAGTCTCTGTCAGGCTGAAAGATCTGGAAAGGCACTAAGGATATATCCACTTTCTCCTACCTCTTCATCTGGCTAGCTGCTACTTGGTTTTCAGGACTCACAGGAGACTCTCCCAAACCCCACATTCGGCTGCACGTGCCCTGAGCTCCCACACCCCCCAGGCCTCCCTATCCCAGAATAAATCCTGCTGTCACTTATTCCTGGGGTGATGCCATTGTCTCCCCTGACACACTCTGGGCTCTAGGAAGGCTAGGGCCTGGTGTTGGTCACGGCAATATCCTAGGCCCACTGCGTGGCCCAGAAAAAGGTACCGTGAATGTGCCGAATGTGTGGATAAGGGCGGCAGTCCCAGGAGTGCTGAGAATCCCACCGTCTGTGACTCCCGACACGCAACACAGCAGAGAGGCCAGAGGCCCGGGATTCGCAGGGCGGTTTCTCTCCGAAACCTAGGCACCCCACCTCGCTCACAGCGACAAGGGAGAGCCTAAGTTTGGGAGGTAAACACCAGCCCTGAGAGAGAGGCAGAGCGAACCCTTGATGGGTCTCTACTGGGAGGGCCCGATGCAGCCGGCGAGCACGCCGCACCGCCAACTTAGAGACTCTCCGGGTGGGAGTATCTCTCCATTCTCCTGCAGGGAAGGCCGAGGGCGGATCCCCTTTTCAAGGGGATACCCTTTCTCTCGAGGATGTGGTCCGAGGTAGTCCCCTCTAAATTCTAAGAGTCATTAGGGCCCCCTTACGCTTAGGGACGACGGGAGTGGTGAGACGCTCCGGAAGCTCCCCCCAGGCCCAGAGACACCCCACCCAGCTCTGTTAGGGTGCAGCCAAGCCGTTCTCTTCGGACGCTCCCCGCGGCCGCCCTTACCTGCAGCCGGAGGAGGAGGAGCCACCGTGCGCGCCGCGGCCCGCCCCGCCAGCTCAGCGCCCGCGCCGCAGGCCCGGGGGCCCAGTTCGCCGCCGGGCCGCCGGCCTCCCCGCACTCGCGACTGAGCCCACCCGCCCGCTAGCTCCGCGGCCGCAGCGCACTCCGCCCACCCGCAGCCGGCGCGCCACTCCGACCGCGGGAGCGTGGCGCCGAACAGGCGCCGCCGGGCAGCCCCGCCGCTGGGGTCCTCGCCGGGAAAGGCCGGTCGCCATGGAGACAAGGGGCGCGCCGGCAGCCGTTGCGCCGAGGTGGTGCCAGGGAGAGCAGTTTGTCGGGCTGGGGCCGCGGCTCCGGGCACCCGACAGCACTGACAGCGAACCTTTCCGGGCGCGCGATGCCTCCTCTCGGCCGTCACCACCTCAGCCCTCGAGGATAGGGCGCCGGGCTACCGCGGGCTCCGAAAGCGCAGGTGGCCTGGTGATGGCGCGGGGCGGGGCCTCGGGCCGTTCGGGTCTGTGGGAAACATCCGCTTCCGGGGCCGCGGCCATCCCACTGCTCGGCTCCGTGGGCCCCCGGAGCTGCCCGTGGTATCGGATACGGCGTGTGCGATCCCCGAGTCCCGGCTGCCCTCGCCCGGCTGCCAGCCTTCTGAGCCAGTCATGTTGGAGCATCTGAGCTCGCTGCCCACACAAATGGTGAGGGCTTGGCCCCAAGACCCCCGCACGCAGCTCCGCCGCTGCACCAACCGTGTGTGGCGCGGTTCCTGGCTCGGATGGCTGCCTTGCCATCTCTTTCCTGAATTGTGCTTCCCGGGTCCCCATCTCTCTACCTCCAGGAGGAGCCCCCTGTCCGTGCTCTGCTAGGATGCTTCCGTTTCCCCCAGGAAACCCAGAATTTCATTCCTTGCCCAGTTTGTGGGGAGGCCCCTGACGTTGGGGTTGGCCGGTGCCAAAGCTGGGAGGCCAGGCCAGGAACCGTGCCTCTTTCCGTGGTGGAACCAATTCCCGCTTTGCTCTTCTTCACCCCTAGGATTACAAGGGCCAGAAGCTAGCCGAACAGATGTTTCAGGGAATTATTATTTTTTCTGCAGTAAGTATTGGTTTTGCGCAGTATCCTTTTCCTCCTTCTCCCCTAACCAGCTTGATTGCAATTAATACACTTCGTTTGTTTCAGATAGTTGGATTTATCTACGGGTACGTGGCTGAACAGTTCGGGTGGACTGTCTATATAGTTATGGCCGGATTTGCTTTTTCGTGTTTGGTAAGAAGTTTGTGGGTGTTGGGATGTTAGTGGCGTGTGAAGCGTTCTGAACTTGGTTACCCGGTTTGGTTGGACCTAGCAGTGGGAACCGGCACCAACGTTCCGAAACCTACTTTTGCCATCAGTGTTTCACCTTGCTGTCACTGGAAAAGTAGAATGCCAAAAAGTGTGAGATAAAGCTGCATATAAAAGGACACAGCTCCTTTCTAATGGCAGCTGCTCCAATTAGTAATCTTAAAGTCAGAGCTAGCAGGGATTCCCTATAGTCTTCACAATGCTCCCGCCTCACCTTTTACCTCTTAAAGCCTTATGTGTAAATGGAGAGGGTTGTACCCAATTCTTAAAATTACGTTGTCTGGGCAGAGGTACCTCGTTTTCATTGGAATGTCCGTCTTGCTGCTGCTGTTTTTACCCTTTGCATAGGAGGTATTTGGGGACCAGGCATTATACCTAATGCTCTTTCAAACTTTTAATGCTTAATATTGATGGATTTTCTCTGTTCTGGCTCAGTTGACACTTCCTCCATGGCCCATTTACCGCCGGCACCCCCTCAAGTGGTTACCTGTTCAAGACTCAGGCTCAGAAGACAAGAAACCAGGGGAAAGGAAAATTAAGAGGCATGCTAAAAATAACTAATTAGGCTTTTCATGATTTAGCTTTACTCTTGCACCGGCTTTCCTTTTGCTTGAGAGCAGCTCAGTTTTCATACTCAAAACATGAGCTAAAACCCACTGCTGCTCTTTTGGCATAGCTGTGTGTAGATTTTGTTTTCCTTATAGTTCACTTCCAGCTCAGCTGGCTTTTGATTTATAAATACTTCAGACCTCCTCTTCATAATATTCTTCTGAAATGAGAACAGGAAACACAAGTATGCAAAGTTTCTTTCAGGTCTACCAAAATGATGAATAAATGCCTCTTAAATGAAAGTACAATTTAACTGTCAAAGTTTTATAGTTCACTATGAGTGGTTAAATTGTTTTAATGTTTGCAATTAAAACTCAGTGCAAGTCTGTGTCTAAAGAGTCTTTTGTTCATTGCTCTGTAAGCAAACCTATGAGTAAAAGCCAAAGTTAGAAGTTTGTGGTTCTCAGAGCATCATTTCTATTTCCTGTAGCTGAAAGTTCCTAAAAGATGTCTTTCTTGACAGTAAGCACCTATGAAAAAATTTAATGTAAATTTGTGGGAAGGTAATATTTGGGTACCACTAAAATTAGGCTTTTGTTAAGCAGAAAAAATTCAATCCATGCTTTACTTGAGGTGGACCAAAGTAGAAACCTATTCTTTTTTAATTTTCCAGAGGCCTGAAGAGAAAAACATTCTTAAAGGTTTTGTGTGTGGGAAGGGAGTGGGAGGATTTTTATAGATAATATTCTATTTCTCCATAGGAGTAAAGAAGACTTAATAAAATGTAAGTTTAAAAAACGAGCAAAGACCTTAATATATGGCAAAAGTCAGGAAGTTTAAAAAAAAAAAGACAGCAGAAATAAGACTGAGCATATTATTAAGAGTAATAAATGTGATTAAAAAGGAACTGCCAGGTGTGCCTGGGTGGCTCAGTGGGTTAAAGCCTCTGTGTTTGGCTCAGGTCATGATCCCAGGGTCCTGGGATTGAGCCCCACATCGGGCTGTCTGCTCAGCAGGGAGCTTGCTTCCTTTCCTCTCTCTCTGCCTGCCTCTCTGCCTACTTGTGATCTCTATCAAATAAAGAAATAAAATCTTAAAAAAAAGGGGGGGGGGACTGCCAAAAAGCATTAAACATCAAGTTACCTTACGTTTTCATGATGACACCCAAAGGTTGAAAACAGGAACAAGGATATATTAGGCAGATGCAGGCAGAAAGGAGAGGTAATAGTGAGAAAGTCATATACTTAACATCAGAAGGCATTAAATGGGGAAAAAGAACACTTCATAGCTGTGAAGATGTCACTGTTAAGAATCATTAGGTATTGGGGCGCCTGGGTGGCTCAGTGGGTTAAGCCTCTGCCTTCAGCTCAGGTCATGATCTCAGGGTCCTGGGATTGAGTCCCGCATCCGGCTCTCTGCTTAGCAGGGAGCCTGCTTCCTCCTCTCTCTCTGCCTGCCTCTCTGCCTACTTGTGATTTTTCTGTCAAATAAGTAAATAAAACCTTAAAAAGAAACCATTAGGTATTAAATATGATGTGAAATCTTATAAAGAAAGAACGTTACATACATAAGAGTTTGGCAAAGCTACACTCTTGGCAGAACAACACTACCTTTCAGATTTGGGTATATCAGGTGGACCAGCGATCAAACGAAGACTTCGGCACTTGTTCTCTATACTTGAAACACGTTCCCTCAGATACACAGGACTTGTTCTTTCCTTTCATTCAGGTCTCTATTCAAATGTGACTATAAGGAAGCATCTGCTGACCTATCAAACCAAAGTGGTATGGAAAAAAAAAAAAGTGGTATGCCTCATTATTCTATATGCACTAACATACCCCACATTATATATTTTTTCCTTGGCCCCACCCAGAATGTAAGCTTCAGGGGAACAGGGATCTCATTACTCTCTTTGCTGTTTGTGTAGTACCTATAATAAGAGTTTGTGACACTTTGTAGGTGCTCAGTAAATACTTAACTGAGTGAATCATTCAGAGCTGCCCTATCCAATATGGTGCCATTAGTCCTATGTGTCTGTTTAAATTAAAACTAAAAGATTGAGCTCCTCCAACTAGCCACATTTTGAGAGCTTAAAAGCCATATATGACCACTGGCTACCTTATCACGATGCAGATAGAGAACATTTCCATCATTACAATACTCTATTGATCAGGTCTTATAAATAGATTTGAATAATATATAAAGGCAAGTGATTCTGTCTGTGTGTAACAGAATTCACCTGTATTAAATGCCCATAGGGTTATTACAATAATGGATCATCTACTGAGTGACAGGGAAAACAATTCCAAGAAATTAAAGTTGGGCAGATCATATTCGGTAACACTGCAATGCAGTTGAAGCAAGGAGATAACATTTTCTTGGCTTTCAAAACATAGGTATCCCCTGCTTTCTGAAAGCTCGTTTCATGCCACTTCACTTTTACAAAAATCTTACATTTCTATAGTGATGGCTTTTTTCATAAAAGTGAAAATCCTCTTCAAATTTCTTTCAGTTAGCAAAAACAGGTATTACTGTAGGTCTTGCATAAAAGCAAAGTGGCATGTCACGAACTTTCAGAAAATGGGGGATACTCTTTGCTTTTCACTGTTTCAGCTTACCAAAGGTTTCACAGGAATGCTCTACTTTTAGATAGCCAGGGAACGTTTGTATATGGAAGTTAAGGAACACTACTTTTTTTTTCTTTAAGATTTATTTGTTAGCACACATAAGAATGGGGAGCAGCAGGCAGAGGGTGAAGCAGGCTCCCACTGAGCAAGGAGCCCAATGCGGGACACTGTCGGGGACCCCGGGATCATAAACCTGAACTAAAGCAGACGGTTAACTGACTGAGCCACCCAGGCATCCCTCAGGAACACTTCTTAAAGAGAAAATCAAAACAAGAATTACTGACTATTTAAAAATTAATATCAAAATAATAACAAAGTCTGAAATGTGGCCAAAGTTATATTGAGAAGAAAATGCATGCTGTTAAAGGTGTTTTATAATGATAGAAGATTAAAAATGATTAAGCACTCAAGACAGAAAAACCACAGAATATCCAAAGATATTAGGATGAAAACTGAATGAATGTTTAAGCAAAATAAAAATATACAGAATGGGAATAATAACATGGGGGGAGAATTTTTCAATTCTAAGAAAATAATATGTACATTATGGCCACAAGTGAGAAAACTTAAGTAAAACTGATGTCTCTCCAGAAAGATGTAGATTCATAAAACATTCAAGAAAAGGTGAATAGTTCAGGGAAGATCCAGTTTGCCAAAGATTTACCTCCAAAATGGGACTAAGACTAGGTGGCTTTACCATTGAGTTCTAACAAACCCTTCAAAGTCAAGCTAAGAGGTCTCAGAAACCAGACCATGAGCACTGTGAGAGTGGGAGTATTGTGTTTTACTCACTCACCACTATATCCACAGCTCCTGGCATACAGTAAAACTAAAAGTCTTGTTCAGTGACTGGAAAGGGAACATTTCATTAGAGTATTTTATGTGTAATTTTCAAAAAAGGTCAGGTAACATTTTTAATTATAAAAAGTGAAAACATTTCTGGAATAGTATTCATTTTTAAAGACCCTTGAATATAGAAGTGAAAATTTACTAATCAAGACTTTTATAAAAACAATTTATTTCCCACATGGGAATTACCCCTTATTAAACAACTAATAAAATATGTGATATATAGTCATACATTTAAAGACAACAAATAATTTGATGTACAAGAAGACAAAACTTCAGGAGATAAATATGTCCCAACATAACTAAAAGGAGCTGGACCTCACTTACAAATTGCTTAACTGGAAAGGGAATTAGTGTTTTAGCAAATGTTTTCACCAATGAAAATATTACTCTTAAAAAAAGACCAGTATACAAAAACATTGATTGACAAAGCCAAAATATTTCTTAGTTTCAGTTCTTATATACCGTAAATGAAGTTCATATTAAATGAAAATAAAAGGCTAAACATCCATCAATATATAAAAAAGGAATTCCGTTGCTCAAACAGTAGGTACAACTTCATATTCATATTCAAAATCTACTCCCAGAATCATGAATTGACTTAAAAAAATAATTTATCAACTACTACCTGAAATTATTAACATTGACAATTAGTATCACTATGACATATTTACTTCTATGCATTTATCACAATAGTACAATACAAAACTTCCAATCTAATTTTATGGCCCTGTAATCAAGCTAATTAGTACCTTAAAAAAATAAGTTCTAAGTATAAAGTTGGTGGTTTAAGGCTCAGTAAACAGTAACCAGACATCTTGTAATAGATTTTCCTCATCAAGAGAGTAAAATAGCCAAAGGTTTTCTCTTTCTTTGTGACATTGCTTCATTCCAAAAGAGAATGGCCTCCAGCCATTATTACAGGTTTCTGTTTAAGCCAAAAACCTTTAAAAATAGGTCTTTAGTTCTGGCAGATTAAATTTTCAAAAATTCACATTTTCTTCAAAAAATTTCAACTGGCGAGCTTTCACACCGTAGGTTGTATATTTTTCACCCATGTGCTCCTGCAAACGTACCTATTTGGGAAACATAAAAAGAAAATCAGTATGTAGTAGAAGAAAAGATCTGTAATCTTAGAAGAACAGCTTTAAAAAGGCGGGGGGGGGGGGCTTTTCTAAGTATGACCCCAGAGGTAGAAATCATATGGGAAAATAACTATAATTTCTTAAAAAATTTTAAGCTTCAAGTTATCAAAAACTACAGTCATAAGAAATTAAGAGCAAACACTACACTGGGGAAAATTTGCAACATACATCCCCCCAAATTAATATCATTAATACAAAGAGCTCTTAGTAAAACACAACAATATTAGAATATTAGAATTGATAAAACAACAAAATCCCACAGATAATTCAGCAAAGGCATTCACAAAAATACAAACAACAGAAATTTCAATCTAATAACCAAAAAAATATACTATGTGATACTCAGTATATGCCTGAACTAAAATAACACCTGATAATGTGTTAAACAGATGTCACACATCTCCTGATCCAGTCAGTGCACAGAGAAGGACACAATATCACTTTTGTGGTATTCCTGCTGAAAATGCGTAATCTGACTCTATTCATGAGAAAACATCAAACAAGTCCAAACCGAGGGTCATTTTATAAAACACATGGCCTATAGTCGTCAAAAATGTCCTAACTGTCCCAAGTTAAATGAGATCTAACAAACATAAAATGTAATCCCAATTGGATCTATCTAGCATGATAGCCTGGGGAGTTCTGAAGACCCCTCTTCAGTGAAACTGGTGAAAATTATTGTTACTTTTATTATTATTTATTTATTTATTTATTTTTTTTTTGAGAGAGAGAGAGAGATAGCATGTGGGAGAGGGAGAGAGAGAATCTCAAGCAG